GTTCTTAAAGACTGGAAAGCAGTCAATGCCTTGCTTCAGCAGAATGAAAAGCCACGAAGGATATTGGGAGCTGCAACAGATGGGATCTGGGTTCCAGGGAACTCAGTTGAGTAGAACAATGCACTTGGATGATCAGAAGTGGACAGGGTCAAATCAGTGCACACTGTATGGGGAAAAAACATGTTCCCCTTAACCATCTGAGTACTTTGAAAAGATTAACAAATAAAATCAAGGATATAAAGTGAACAGTGAATATAATTTACACAAAAAGCTTTAGCTGAATGTCCTCCACAAGAGGCTATTACTGAAAAATAAATATCCAATAGTAAAGCACAAACTACTATCCAATCTTGATGATTAGAGAAAGTATCAAAACAACAATAAATACCTACTGTTCAAAGCAGACATAGATAACAGAAATGTACCTGAAACTCAAGACTGCAAATTGTGCTGGTCACATATTTCAGACCTGATTTGTGCTTTTGGTGTTTAAGACATGACAATTATGGGTACCTAACTTCGGAAGTGATGGACTTCTTGCCTCATAAATTCAAGCCCCATTAGGCATTGTCACCTTTGAGGTGACACTGTTTCGCCTTTATGTCTTTATGCATATTTCACCTTTCAGTCTTTGTGTAAAGACTTAGATGTATGACTAACTTTAAACACTTGTATAATCTTACTAAGATCATTTGGATTACTAAAATGTTTTAAATCATGAGATTAAATCTTTCTAAGCTTTCAGTCATATTTCTGGAAGAAGAACGCATAGAGGAAGTGTTGAAAGTCGATGATGGCATGGAACTCTATACCTCACATAACCTACTAACTCCAGGTTGATCATATCAGAAAAACAAATTTAACCTTCAGAAAATGAATTACTAGACAGGCACACCAAAACATTTAGAATAAAAATTTTCAGCAGATAATACAGGCTGGTCCAAAATAACAGTTTGATTGTATGTTAATTTATTTTTCAACTTTCACATTTTAGATTCTTCCATTAAGGATTACTATAAATATATTTTTAAAAAATGAAAAAAATGAAAAAAGAAAAAAAAAAAAGAGAAATTCTCAATTTTCTAACTTATCTCTTGCTTGTTTTTCCTAGTTTTAGGAAAAACATGGAAAACATGTAGATACAATTTTTTTTTTTTGACTGTATGCCAACATTGACATTTTAGAAAGACATACCTGAAAAGAATACATTTCTTCAAATAAACACTTCCAGTAAGACAGGAATTTTAATTTTAACTATTAACCTTAAAAACAAAATGTGTTACTTTTGAAATAAGACACATTTTTATGCATGCTCACACTTTCTTACATGCTATTTAGTATAGGAAAATACTGACATAGGAAGAAAGTGTGGGAAACATAATTTTCCCATATTTTTGAAACTTCCTTCAAAAAACTGGAATTTCCCAGTGGAATAGCTAGATTGCTTCTGGTAATTAACTTTGCAGAAGAAATCAACTTGGCAGATTTAACTTCTGGGAAAACCACGCCAACAAGCAGAATGAGTTTGGCAAAGAGACAAGAGGGTCTCTGTGATTCAGATCAGGGAAAGAAAGGTCAATGACTGGGTGTTTAAAAAAAAAAAAAACAGACACTAAAGTTATCATGATGAGCATATATAGTGTGCCATTTAGCTGGACTACTCCATACCTTGCCATCAGTTTTCAGACTTGTTGACTAAAAAAATATAGGCAACAGTTCTTGAAGTGACTGGTAGTGGAGAGGATGAAACTGCTAAAGTTAGAATTAGTTCAGTTAGCTCAGGATTTAAATAAATCTCTTACAGCCTAATTCAGCAATGAAGAAATATTCAAAAGGAACTGGTCAGAACTGAAAGGAAGAAAAGACAATCAAAGAAAGTGTGTGAGGTTCAGCCATTAGACTGACACCTTCTTCAGTGCCATTTGATGCCTTAGTCCTGTATGATTACGTGGATAATATGACACTTATTTTAGTCAAAGCGGGTCTTAGATGATTGCCCTGGAATACTCAGTAGTTAAAGAATAGGACAGTTATATGAAATTAAATGACAGTTTGAAGTATTCCTGAAGAATTCTCTACTTGAGGGGTATGTAAGGTCAAATTCAGTGGCTGGATTAAAGAATGAAGGAAGTCAAGTTTTATTACCACTAAAAAAATGTGTCATTTAGTGTGACTAAAACATTAAACAAATAAAAGATAAGAAAGTCTCATGTTCAATCGGAAAATTCCCTGTGTGAATTTGGGAATAATCTGTCTGCCAAACTCTGTTATTATACTTTTGGTTAGATATATCATACATAGACTTCCAACACTTCTTCTGAAAGATTAGTTCTTAGACCCAAGTAAAGATAGGCTATTAGTACTACTGAACATATTTTGCTGCACTGTGAAGGTACATGGAACTGGAAAAGATAGAAAGTTCCTGATTCCTCTTTCCTCTGAAATCAGTAGGAGCTGAGCTACTGACTTCTACCTTGGACTCAAAACTGAGCAGATTTATTGGATACCAGTTAAACATGAGGGCAAGAATTAGAAAAGTTAACTAAACCCTTGAATACAAAAGAGCATGACTACATGAATCATATCAGTTTCAAAAGTTTCTCTGAAGATTCATATTGGATTTGATAGAAAGAACCACAGCCCATGAATGATGGTTTGATTCTCAAAGCTGCCATGTTTGTTTTACAAACTTTGTTTTACACTAAAAGAAATGCTCCACAGCAGAATGTTGGAGAGGACCTACTGTTATGAAGCTTTATGAGGAATAAGAGCTTGCTAACGGCAAAAAGCACTCACTGAAAACAGAAAATGGACAACCATGGCAAGCAAGTTATCTTCCTAACTTTTAAAAGGAATGTCCATTTTAAACATTTCAGATAGGGACCCCTTATCTATAAGCATTTACTCACTTGAATAATCTTTTTATAACTTTTTTATTTTTTTAAGCTGTTTAGGGATTGGTATCAGATGCTTTCTATTCTTTAAAGCTACCTCCAGAACTTCACAAGCATGTATACAGCACCTATTGTACAAAACCCCAAGGGTAAGCACAAATAATTCTGAAGACCTGGAAGCATTTAATTGCTGTTTTATCAATATTATTTCAGGAGCATGGTATTGTTTGGGAGTGCAAAGAACCCAAATAAAAATCTAATAAGAACTCAAATGAAAAACTAGTATAAAGAGCTTTTAAAGAAAGCAGAGGCTAAAACTATTTCAGGATTTGCATTGTGGGAATGGATAGATACAAATAGCATGGAGGGTTTTAAATTCTGAGAGGGCCTGAAGTTTGTGGGAAGTTGAAATGCAATATCCCTAGGTTCCTGTGTTACAAATAATATGCTACATTTTACGAAGGTGCATACAACTCAGGAGAGCTATAGCTATTAATCTTGCACCTGCTCAGCTGCATGTAGGGACAGGGAAGACAAACAGTGTCCCATGACATTCACAACCTACAGAAAGTGAGTCCTTGTTTTGCTAAGGAACCATGACAGAGTTAAGTGAAGGTCCTAAAATGTATTACCATTTTATTTTATGGTTTAAGAGCAATATACTGCATGGAGAAGCAGGAAAAAAATGGCCACTATTTATGGAAGTTATTATTCTTTATTTTTTTTTTTCATAGACTTAAAAGACAGTAGAGGAAGACTGAATGATAAAACAGTAAAATCAACATCTGTTTTTATTATTGCTATTACATAATTTCTATTTAAATTTGATTATTGTGTGTCCCCTTGTATTTCATTGGTCCTACCTTTCACACCTAAATAATTCTTTGCTCATGAAAAAATACTGCTCAATTCCTGCTAGGCTCCAAAAGTCAGTTTGCTGGAGTGAGGGATGCAGCACTTGTCTTTGAGTGTGCATGAGTATCTTTTTATGACTCTGCTCTCCTTTATTCTTTCCACAGCAAATAAGTAGGATTAAGAGAGAATATCTTGAATGATTGATGATAATTCTGAGCACTGCAACTAAATCTTTTGACTGCCTAGATTAGAAGTACTTATTAGCCTCATCAGCTTCCCTCATACCAATACTCCCACGCTGTTATTTGTCTTAAACAGTGAGATAGTTGAAAATAGTCAAAGGCCAGCCTGAGGGGGATTGGCGTAAGGGAACGAATAATTCCAACTATTAATCCTGGAAATTATTAGGAAACTTGGAAGAAAGTCATCACCCATACACACACTACTCATCACTGTTAGGGATCATTCACCCATTCTCTATTCTGCTGTACCAGTTCCTTTATGCATTGAACACATGAGCATTACCCTATCTACTTTTATTACATCCCAATTAAGCCCTCCATAGTATGTTCACAGTAGGAACCAGAAGACACAATCACACTATTTTGTTTATAATGGGATAGTCACAACAGATAAATACAAACATAGAATAATCACAGCCTCATCCAAATAAAACAAGATATTTGCAAAATAGACCCTGACCTTACTGTGGTTGGAGGTGAAACTTTGAAAGATAATGAAAAGATTATAATTTCACCCACAGAGGCATAATGTAATCATTCTCCGTATCTATTTGGAAAATTTGGTTTCTTCTCTGAACATGGCAAGGAAGTTGCCAATTAAACACATTTATTGTTTTGGATCCGTTATAGGAATATTGTCAGGAGAAAAAAAAAAAAAAGAAAAGAAAAGATGTCTGAATCCTTTTGACATAGGCCAGTCTCCTATTCTGGCCACAACAGAGCTGCATCTAATTCAAATCTCTGACAATACAAGGATTTAGATGGTTTTTTTTGATGTTTTTTGTTTGTTTTAGACTGAAAGGGGATCTCTAACATCTCATTTTAATTACTTTTCCAGTCATTCCTATATTTATAAAGGTTCTGTGAACAACAGAAAGATGATGTCCTGGAAACTTCAGAAAAAAAAATCGCGACCTTATTTGTATTTTTTTGTATGGTTGTTGACAAGGCAGAAAAATTTCAGACCATTGTTTTCAAACCTACTATATGTGTTAATATAGATACTAACCTTCTTATACTTCCAAATGTCTGTGCATGACCTAAAAATTTTCCAAAATCTATGTGGAACATGTGTCCAGCATTTGTCAGCATTATGTTGTCATTGTGTCGGTCACAGATGCCCAGAATGAAGGTGACAACACACCAGCCCGCACAGGAATAAAAGAAATTCCTTATTGCCTAATTAAGAAAACAAAAACACTTATTAGAATTATGAAGAGACATAGCTGTTTGCAGTGCTAATAAGAAAAAATGTTTTTCTACACATGCTAAGTATGTAGATAAAATTTAAACAGAGGACTGTTTTCAGTAGTAAACAAACAAAAAATACAGTAAATGCAAAGTTACAATGCAACAAAAATTTTGTGCATGAGGTTTTCAACTTGTGATTTACAGACACTTGGAATTCTGTGGAAAACTTCTACGGTGAAATGTACCTAAGAAAAGCAAGCTTCTTTTTGGAAACTGACATTTTATGTTTGTTAGTCTGCCTCTATAATGCAAAAGTAACTGTTTAGAAATATGATGTAAAACAATTAATTGGACAAATTTCATTGTAAAGAAAGTGGGTTATTTTACACAATTGGTTTGTACCTACATTGGTCTTTTATTTCCAGAACTCAACTACATTAAATCATAATTGATGAAGTCTCACAATATTCCAGCCCGAAGCATTCAGCCCCATTTAACTGAAAGGATCTTCTAATCTAAAAGGATTTTAGCATCTTCTAATCTGAATAGACTATAGGATCAAAACACGTTCCATGTGGAGAAACCCAAGACAATGATTAAACCCCAAACCAGTCTATCTGTCCTGTTTATAACCTACTTCTCTGGCAAGCACTTTTACACAGTGGAAATGTGTACTTTCCTGCTTCATGTAAGTAGACTGGCTCATTCAGATTTATCCCATGAATCTCTTTACAGTACTACATTGTATTACTGCTCTTTCTCAGAAACATGCCTACAACAGACATAGAAAGAAGTACATGGTAAAGCTAACGATATGCTCACCAGACACTCATAGATGGATTCCAAGTTTTCTGCTTACTTCAGAGAGAAGTATTTAACAACTGTGGACTTTTCCTATTAGAAGAATATACCCAATTGCTGTCACAATACACACATTCAGCATTCTCTCTGAGGTGAGAGTTATTCTTGATTCAAATCATGACCAATCTTCTACCCCAAAGCGTAAGAAACGGGTCTTGTCTTTTTTTAATCTTACCTACTACAGTTTAAGAACTGTAAATGCAGTTCTTATTCAAAAGTCTTAATCTTACATGAATGTTAATCACAAAGTGATTCATTTATATAGAAACCAAAAAAAATCTTAAATTGTGGGCATTATATTTTTGGACAAAACCTACATTAGACAACATAAATAATTATTTAGTCATTCAGGATTTCCATGCAGACACAGGGTGCCACCTGCAATGGCTGATACAGGTGACAGCTCTGTGGAAGACATAGGCCATAGCATGAGACTGGTGAATTTTATGTCTAACTGTACTACTTACCCGCTTAGATGACCTTGGATAAAACACCTAAGCTTACTGTGATTCTGTTCACCCAACTGTAAAATGAGGATATTAAAGCTTATTCTGCATAAGCTTTTTGAGCACCTTAAACACAGTATTATATGAATAAAAAAAAAAATAATTACTAAGTAAAAGAGAAAAGTTCATTCATCAGCAAATGCAAGGTGAATGTATAGTAGCAATTTTATGCATGTCCTATGCAATTAGAGCTGACTTTTTTTTTTTATACATTCAAGAAATCAAATGAAAATAGCTAGAAATTGGTTTTAGAATATTCTGCTTTAATGGTACTTCCTACAAACGGTAGCAACAGCAACAAATCCATTTTTCAGTGAGTTACTAATAGCTATCTCAATTTTCAATTGAAAAGTTGGCTGCACATCTACCTTAATAGTGTAAATTTACAAACCTGTAAAAAAAAAAAATCAATACAGATTGTTCCTGATTAATTAAATCAAGATTATATTCTAGTAATTGAAATGCTCTTACCAAAAATATGGGTGAGCAAAAACGTATGGAATAACTACAAAACACTAGAGACTATCAAACATATCTATGTTATAAATCTACGTGCCTACTAATACACTTTTATGAAAAAACACTTCATTTTCAAAATGCTAAACACTGAAAGCTGTCCTTTAAAATTCATTTAAAATTTTGGCTACTAATCTACTGCTGGCATGGAGAAGGGATCAAAAATTGTCCCAGCAATACAAACATTAAAAAGTTTTTAAAAAGTCTTAGAATATGCTGAGCCAACAAAGAATGAATAGAAACAGTTCCTTTCAAAGGGAAACCTCTGCTTCTATAAATAAAATTTTAAATTTCTTGGCTCATGCATAATGCCTGGTTTCATAAAAACAGATGTATTACATGGGATCCCACAATGTGATGTGAAAAGCATGATCTTATGTATCATGTGACTAGGCAGCTTCCATAAAACAGCTTTCTAAAACTGTGGATATTGACATGGACATTTCCAAATACAGGAAATTCACTAAGACTTTGCATGGTTAATATAAAATAAAATGTTTAGAGAGCTGGACCTAAAAAAATATTTTGGAGCTCAAAATTTAATTTCTACATCAGCTTCTCTTTACTAGTATATTTCAAAATATTACTATGATACATTATTATAGAAAATGTGTTATAATGCACCTGATCCAGAGAAATATCTCTTTATAAAGAGAATGTCAATTTAAGCCAGTTTCCTGGTTTCTACGTGTATGCATGTGACTTGCTTGTCCTGAATGTGAGTCACTTATTTTTGCTGCTTACTGTTATGTTTTTTTCTTTTCCATGGTAAAGGATGAAAAGTATAATAAGGTTCATTACGATGTTACCTCTTGGTAACTTGACTCCAGCTGATGGTGATGACGGAACCATTTTTTAATTGTGTTTTCTTTCAATGGTCCTATTAGTCCAGATTTCCTGTGGATTTTGGCTAGTGTGGTAGCATCTGGCACCATCTGTACCAATCCTGGTCAGATACAGAAGAGATCACATGAGAAGCCCATAACTTTAAAAATATATGATGACCATTAATGCATTTGCATATTTTTGGATCATCCTATGCAGAAAAAATGCATGCTTAGAAGCTTATAAAATAATGAATATAAATAAAATTCCAATCTATCTTCTTCATTCTTTTTTTGTTTTAGGAAACAAAAAACAAAGGTCAGTGAAAAGTAGCAGTTCCACAAACAACAAATATAAACACTAATACCAATATTGTGTACATAACTGCCTCAAGGTACCAACAAGGCCAACAATTTAACAAGTTTCAAAATGGGTAGAATATGTATACAAACAACAAAAATCTATTAAAAAAATCAGATCAGATATTTACTGTGAAATACAAAGTTATTTCATCCGTGCTTATTGTCAAAAATGTTGCAGACTGTTCTCTGCAGTATATTAGACTGATCACAGTTGGGATACAGGATACTAGACAGTGCAGAAATTAGTCAGGTCCAAGGTGACATATAACAGGTCTTTGAAATGTACAGAGAAGCCAAGCATTTTGCAATGCTTCATTTGAATCCTATGCCTCTACTTCATGTACTCATTCCTTTTTCGGAACCGAGACCTGGCTTGACAGACTTGTCACTGTACCTGTGTGTGGTTCCCAGGCACCTTACCCTGAAACTCTGCATTACAGGAAGAACTTCTAGCGATTTTAGTCGGTGACAGGCTCCCCTACAATATCAAGCCTGGAAAGTGGCATCCTACCAGTGCTTTAACTGCTTTTCACATTTCTGTGTCTGCTTGAGACTCAAGTGATTTCTGTGTTCCCATGACTACACAATTGCCCTCTTCTATCCCCCCTGTGGAAAATGTGGCTCATGGAGCAAGGTGATAGCCCAGGATATGGAAGACCTGTGTATACATATGAACTTTTTAGCACATGCCCTGTAGTACCACAGGCATGTCATTTGATCCTTAACCATCAACTGTAAATCAGTTATATTAACACTATTGTAATTCATAAGGAAAGACATTGTGAGGGGAGTCACTGGGAGATTTTCTACTACTATGGTGCTGAAAGGAAGAGACCATCAGATAGAATATTATTTGCTGATGTTCCCTGTATCTTTCTTAGTAAAATCAAATTAACTGCTCATATATCAAAGAGACTATAATATGTTCAGAATTAATATTCTTTGTGTCATTTGTGTTTGAAGAAGAAGCCTTCAGGCTTTGACTCCCATCTTTACAAAGAAGGGAGGAGTCTTTTTCAGGTCACCTTAACCACCTGCCATGTGCGTGAGGTCATCTATACTTATTCCTAGGGTCCCTTTAGATCACTCACCCTCTCTCATTTTCTCTGTCTCATCATCAAAAAAAAATTAATCATTTTATATTATTATATTAATATAAATATTTACATAAAATATATTATTATATTATTATGTTATATAAAATATATTAAATATAATATTTAAAAATTTTATTATTATTGGTAGTTTTTGTACAGAAGGTAATCTCAATACTTCAGTCTTCTTTTTGTGCAAGGATTATTTTCAGTAAAACATTTGGAGTGTCTGTAAAAAATAGTAAGCTTATTGCTGTCGGTAAGTTTTTTTTTAGCAAGCAATTGGCTTCCCTGCTACAGCTCTGCTCTAACAACCATAAAGGAGAGAAATAAAGCTTTCAGATGAGTCAGGCTTGCCCTAAGCAGCATTAATCGCAAGAGTAATATTTCAAATTCAACATTGCAAAGCTGTCATCACTTGTCTACAGGTACCTTCTGTAGCCACATGTTTCTAGGTTCATTTAAGCATCTACGTGGGATCACACAGGATTAAAACTTTAGTAGGTATGGACAATTTTCTCTAAGACCCTCTTTATGTGTGAAGTTACTTTTAAGAATGTGGTGCAAGCTGCTGATGTTGAAACTTTTGGAAAATTCTAGAATACAAAATTCATTGAGTTTGGAGAGCAATGAACATTCTGGATTATGTAGGTGTGAAATTTAGGGCCTGAGTAACCAAAGTTATCAGCTTTTTTTTTTTTTTTTTGGGGGGGGGGGGGGAGTGAGGGGGTGGAAGTGGCAGATAAACAGGACACCTGTGAAAATAAAAGTTAAAGGGAGGATATTTTGTATTGCTATTTACATAAGATATGAATAATGCGATAGGGGTAATATTTGTAATCTAAAACTGACCTTGGTCTTTTCCTGTGGACAAACACTTATAAATTATCATTTGCATATCCAGTCCCTCTTGGAGCCAAATGTTGTCCATCAGTCGAATAATTTGCAGAACCAGCATATCTTGACGTAGATCATCGCCTATCTGTTAAAATAGCACAAGAAATCCAAGCTTCTCCTTCAATACCACACAGACATAACTTTGTATTTTATTTGGACTTTTTCCCACACCAAAATAGCTACATTCATTTTGCAGTAAAAGCCTCTTATTTTTCTTCAAAGTTGCTACTTATCTTTCTGTGTCAGGAAGAGGACTGGATAGATGGCACACGTAGGCAGCAACAGTTTTGGCAGCCATAGAAATAGTAGCAAATGCTCTCTGATTAACTGCAGCCTTTCTGCTTATTTTTCATATGCAATTATTAGAGTTTGAAAACTTAATCTGGAGGTAGGATCCTAATTTAGCTACGTTTTAAATTCTACCTAATGCTAGATCCCTTTTCTCAAATGACAGCATTTGACCTAATGTTAAGCTTCACAACTTAAAGCTTGAAGTAGACTGAAGAGGAATCTTATCATCAATTTATATTTTATCCATGACATGATTCATATTCAGTTTCAAACAGAGATGCAGTGCTGACTACTCTTCTCAAGGAGTCTGTTAAACAGTAATCTTAGTGAAATGGGGTTGTAATTGTAGCCACGAGAGGTGATGAAGAAACTATCTTCAACTGTGGCTGTGTAAATAGCATGTGAAAACAAGTCCTGTTTTTTTGTTTGTTTGTTTGTTTGTTTGTTTGTTTTGTCTCCCCACCACCCCCACTCCCATCTAAAAGACATGTGCATGTGACTTAATTTTTATGTTTTGCACTTTTGTTATGTTCTTTTTACATAAGCATTCCAATATACAGACATTTACCGCCATTAAATGGCGGTAATGTAGAGGACACAAACTTATCTTTGAAAATAATAATAATGAAAAATCTGTTTCTTTCATCTGAGGGTAATCTTGACTCCAAGTAATTCTTCTCAGAACCTAGACCTGAGAAAAATCTTAGCCTCTCCACTTACCTGTTCTCCTACCCTCACATACACAGCAGACAATTTAGTATAATAACAGTGCTTATTATTTTATCTATGCATTATCCACCATGAATGAACAATTGAACTACAGTTCAAATAAAAGATACTTTAATACAAGGGGCTGCTGTCAGGAAAAGATGACAGTGTCAATGACACTGCTCCTACAGCAACTGGACAATTGGTGGTTCTGGAACATTACCAGGCAGGGGAAATGCTGTCTAGGTAGAACTAGCACAAATGTTTAAATGCTTCATTGGGAAGGATTTGCTCAAGTAAGTAGGAGCCTTCCTATTTAACATTGAGTCTCAGGTAAAATAGTACAAGAAGCAGCTTTCTGAATGTTCAGAAAACAAAACATTGCTAGTCTCCCCCTAGCATGCCTAGAGATTATGCTTCTAATTCCTGAGAATCATAACTGCTCTGAAAGTCAATTTCATTCTGGACAGCCTGCATGTTTTTTATTAAATTTATTTTTATCAATTTTTAGGCTTCTGGTTTGGAACATTACACTGCAAAAGATCTAGGAATAATGTCTTTGTCTGGCAACATAAACCACTTTGTATCCATCAGACATTTTATGATCTTCAGTGTTCTTCATCTAAAAACAACATCCATTGTTAGGGAACACTTTTACTCTTTTGAAAGAGAAGCAATTTTAGATTGCACATATTGTCTTTTGCTGATGGAGAAGCACTGTCCTGAGCTCTGAAGCTCTGAAAGTGACTATTGGAAGATAAACTAGAGGAACTCTGGATTAATTACTCCGACTAACTCTACTAAAACAGAGCTCCTCTGCTGTCCTCATCATCCCCATTCCTCAGCCCATTATCCCACACTCTCTGATAGGATTGGAATTAGATTCTGTCCAGCAAACTCTGTCTTTAACACTATAGTATTTTGATTTTTGGGAGTTGGACAAGGTTACAGGATTCAATCATATTGAATAATCCCTTCTCTGACTTTGGTGTGGTAAATAAACTAATATAAACTTAAAATTTTAACCTGGTTTTCTCCATTAAGGAAAAGTAAATGCAAGAAGTCATTTGATTATCTACTGATCAAATGTTGAGTACTGGAGTGCATTTTCTGTTCATATTCCAATGAAAGTCCTAGTGTCAAAAATAGCGTGAAAAGTGAACAACAGAGCCAAATCAAACATTATCAGTCTCCAGATTTAAAATATTAATCAGCTGGATTTCAAATCAACCTTTTACATACAAAAGGAAGTGAGGATTAGAGGAATAACTTACCTTAAAAATAATATTGATGTTTCCACTTGGAGCATTTGCATTGATGAAGGAAATTTTTAATGGAAAAGCATTGGATGTAAAATATGAGCATGACTTCAGGGAAAAAAAGGTGAGAGAGGACAACCGAGTCACATATACAAAACTTGAGGTTAATATAATAACTCCAAAAAAATATATCATCTTTAAATACTTCTCAGTATCTCTAATGACAAAAATAAATAATTACTAATATTATTGGCTATTTTGTTGGTTCAGGAAAACAAAAAAACTCTTTTTCCACTGGCAATTTGTTCCACTCCATAATCAGATAATATGAATGGATGATATTTTACATACTGTTTTTTATTTTAATGCAGTCCTATTAATGCTAACATTTGGTTGGGATTTAGTGGACAAAAATACATAAGACTTATCTAATCAGAATCTGCAATGCATTGAAAAATCTTTAGTCCTTTTTTTTATTATTATTAATATTTTTCTGCAAAGGAATTACAAGGTCATACAATCTTTACGGAAACAAAGAACCTGTTAATTCCAGTGGTCACCTAAGTCTGGATGAGGATACGGGAAATTCTGAAAATCCCAACCTATTTTATGTGGAATTTATCTTAATTAAACATAAAATCTGACCTTTCATGCCCTGTAGCTCCTTCCACCTGAAGATCTGAAAGGCCTTTAAAAAGCATTAATGAGCCAAAAACTGAAAATCCTGTGTGTTAGGCTAGTATTATTATCATCATTATAAAAAGGGGAGAAAAACCAACAACACAACCAAAGACAATGGTAAATTAATGGTTTAGTTTCTAGAGATAATGAGCACCCCACAGCAGCTACTGCTATGCTTACTTGATGGAGAACAATGGGGGCTAATTTGAACAAAAACACTACTAGACACAGCTGTCTATTCCTTTCCAACTAAATATTTCAAAGCATGGTACACACATTCAAATATCGTCTTAGCCACACCATACTGTTGCAACTGCTGCTATAGCTATTATCAGTGATGAAATCTTGACCCCCTACGGAATTTTGACAATTGAAATGTCTGAATCTGTACTTGAAAGTTTACTGTGATATAATGCATTAGTGATAAAGCTGGGCTGCTAGTAAAATCAATAGATGATATAAAAATTTATTAAATTTGAGGTTACTATAAGCATTTAAAATGTTAGTTTGCATGCTTGTACTGATAAGTCAAGAAGATGCAGATATTTATAGAATGATAATGGCTTAAAATGATGTAAGAAAAAGGAAAAAATATATCTTTTCAGATACTTATATTTAAACAATTTGTATATATCCAGCCAAGCTTGTGCTGTATAAATAGCATGACTGTATGCTGAGATACTTTCCCATTAGTCAATATTTCCAAAAAGCCTGAACGCAGTGAGAAGCAGCAGGCTTCAAATTCTTCTGACTTATATTATCCACAGTTGGCCCAAACCTGCGGGTGCTGGAAGACCTCTGTTCTCTGAGAGATCAAGGCTGAATAGCAATTACTTGGAGAATCACAGGTCAAAGACAATTGAAGGGATCAGCACCTTTTTAGAATCAGGTCCACTGTGGATAATGAGCCAGAGAACAAAAATAGAGCACAAATTGCTGTAATTAGGAACCTATAACCGATAATATATACAAGTCTTCAGGTTTGTTTTTCCTTGCTGCTGGATACCTTTTTCTTTTCCAGAGCTGGAACAGCTTATTTCTAGCATAATATTGATTATGAAAACATCCTAAACAATGAATAAATGAGTCTTAGCACTGTGGTCAAAGTCAAGTAATGCTAAACAGCATTAAGGTTTCCTTTATTTACAAGTCACTTTTTATAGGAGTCATAGACACATGTGACTTACTCTAAATATTTAATATTTTAGCAATTCTCAGTCATGTGCCTGGTCTTACTGAAGCAAAAAGAGCTAGGTCTAGATCTTTAGCAGTTCCCATCTGTGAAATGGAAGAATTTTAGATGAGAAAAAAACTGCCACTAGGAGCTACATGGATAGAATGGAAACCAAGTCTCAGTTTCAGGGGAGGCAAGTGCCATTGCCAATCCCAATGCCACAGCAGGGCAGCAGAGCTGGGAGGAAGCTGCTGAGAGTTTGAAGTATGTGCTGCTGCTGCATGACATGAGATTTACAAGCAACACCTACCCCAGCAGTTTCCTGCACCTCTATCTCCAACAAAGGCCCCTGGTTTCAAGGGGATTAGGCTAGATGTCAGTTTACCAGATGACTCATGCTAAATACCAGTAGGATTATTTCCCAGTCAATGCATCAATTTATTCCCTCTCCCCCTTTATATTAAATAAAAAAAAAAAAAAAAAGTAATTCATCATATGAACTAAACTTACATCTGCTTCTATGCCTTGCACAACAAGTGCAGGATTCAGGGGAAGTCGACAAACCTTTACCTCCTGGAAGAACTGCTGAAGTCTGCTGAGTTCCATCTTTAACACCTCCTGCAACATGTGAATCATTATGGCAGCATGAAAGAATATAACACAAGTTTTTAAACTGTCGACTGTCTTGTTATATTTTAATTAAACATAACATTTTAATTAAAACTTACACAAGCAGATATTGATATCACAAGGAGGAGAGGTTTTAAACTAAAATATGGGAGATTTAGATTAGAGGTTAGGAGGAAATGCTTCACTCAGAGGGTGGTGAGGCCCTGGAGCAGGTTGCCCAGAGAAGCTGTGGATGCCCCATCCCTGGAAGTGTTCAAGGCTGGCTTGGAGCCCTGGGCAACCTGATCCAGTGGGTGGCATCCCTACCCATGGCAGGAGGGTTAGAAGCAGATGATCTCTGAGGACCCTTCCAACCTGAGTTGTTCTATGATTCTGATTCCAATTCTGATTCCAATTCCAATTTCTAGTACACGGAACTAATAGTATCCATGTAATCTTATAACAGCTAATAAGGTTACACTGAGGTACAGTTATTAAAAATAAAAACTGTAATTTTATTCCACCTTAATGCTTTTACTACCTAGGTGCTCTACCAGTTCATGCTGTTATGTAGGTTCAGATTCAGAGCCCTTTACTAGGGTATCCACCAGTGCTGCTGCACCTCATGTATTTTTTGCCTTTTTGGACTTTACAATTTGTTGCCTGAACACTGTGATCTCCCTCACATAACAGTAGGTGTGTTAACTGCAAGTGTCACAGCAACCACTACAGCCTTGCGATTAATCTTTATCATTTGAAATATACATCAGTAATGTATAATGCATCACTACTATTTATATTTCTTTACATGGATTTTTCCCTTTGCAAATAGATATTTTTTCTTTTTACTTCCATGTTTGCTTTTCTGCTTTTAGTAGCAATACAGAGTATTCTGAAAAATCCTTTGAAAATCTTTGAATCCTTAACAAGGCAATAAGAATTCATAACTTTCATGATAACTAGCAGTGGCAGGAATATTTTTATCTGGCTTTCTGGATTGCCTCACTAAGATCTCAGCAAGAAAGTGTTTTACACATCAGGTATGTAACAACAGCTGTTTTAGAAAATTAACACATTTGAATTGGAAATGTACCTATGCAATATGAAAACTGTACTCACCGTAGAAGACTACAAGCCTTCTACTGACAAGAATTCTGGTGTATTTGAGATATTAAGTACAGGCCACTTTGATTGTCACCTTTAAGAAATAAGAATGTTCAATGTCTCAATGACAACTTTCAGCAAAGTTTTCAAAAAACACTGCACCTCCACAGGAGACATATTTTGGGATGAGATGTTGAATGTGAGTCCTTTCAGTTCAAAGTTACCCAGGTTTGTTGTCATTGTTTCTGACCTCGTCCAAATCTAGGAAACTATGGATGAAAGAATTTAAATGGTTTAAAAGAACTGTTGATCTCTAGAGCATTAATGGTAAGAGAATGCCCATTAAAAATGTGTATTTTCCTTGTTTTTATACCTGTCCAAAATTTTAAAAATTTTAGTCAAATCTTAGGTTTATCTAAATAAAGGGCACTATAGGCAAGAGGTGCCACTTGGGAAAAAGTAAAATTACCTTGAAAACTTTAGATGGAAGGGGAATTTTTTTATTATTATTTGTATTTTGTATAACAAACCTTTCTTTTTTGGTCACTGGCAGCTTTTACTTTTTCAGCGATGTCTTCCAAAATTCTAAGAAGTTTCCCCTCCTTAGAAAACTCATTGTTCAGGGCTTTTCCAGCAGAGAATTGGAAAGCAGCCAGTAGTTTCCGATACCAGATTTTGAAATGAATTTCATTCTGTGCATTCTTCAACAGCCTGAAGGGAGGAGGAGGAAAAAAAAAAACACAAACGAAATCTGTGTATCTAAATCTGATTTTTATTTTATATCACTTCTAGCAGGAACAGTAAATGCACTCCAGACTAATCTGTATTTGGTGACTTTGTGCAGCTTAGCAACAGAGAATGAAAAAAAAAAAAGTTTATTTGCTGGCAGTACTCAGATCCCAGAACTAATGAGATTTCAAATGTTTTGAATCAATAGGAACCTGCCATTTCTTACTGTCTATACTGCAGTGCTTATATTGCTCCTCTTTTCTGCAAGGAAATTTTACAAAGTGAAAACATGTTTTTTTGTTTGTTTGTATTTTTGAAGTCCAGTTTTAAGTGTATATTCCTAACTTTTTTTTTTTCTTCGGCCAGTACACTTACACAATCAAAGATATCTTTCAGCAAGGAGGTGCATTTAAAGACCATTTTAGTTTCAGCAGTATCATCAGTTCCAGAAGCTTTCACTATTTTAAGTTGAGGAGACATTTCTGAAACTGGAAATACTTCTGAGAAGAGTGAAATGAGACCACTTTATTCCTTTTTTTTACTGATAGGTGTTGGTCTAGAGTAAAAATTCAGCTTTGAGTTTTACTGAAGTTTGTCAAAGCTTTGGAACTGGAGTTATTCCCTAAATAAAAGTCAGATGTAAAACCAAAAACATACTTATTTTTCCATAGATTTACCATGCAGTACTCTCTAATTATAAGTTCATTTGGGCCAGTAAAGCTGTGGGGTTTAGGTTTTCGTAGTTAATTTACTTGATCACTGGGGATTTTTTTCTTGATGAGGTCCAGAGTTTTTGTACACCTTTAATTTATTTTCGTAAGCATAGATAGAATCACCAACTTCATATTGCCACTAACATCTTGCCCATTACCTGGGATTTTCATTCCCTAAGGGACTGATGGACTGCTGTCCATTGTTGTTGCTGTTGTTTGTTTATATTTCTGAACATCCCTCCCTACAACTTCAATCTTAAGAAATTAATTGAATCCAAACCTTAAATTTCTTATAAATGCCTGAATTTTAATGCAGTTTCTCTTAGCTGATGAGGTTACTCAAACCTAACAAATAATTCTAGTTTTCACAGGACAGAAATTAGAGAAGTTGACTTTATAGCACATCACATATGACTATGTCACATAACAAAAAGTAGGCACATGATATATCAAGCACTGATATTTAAAGGTAAAAAAAATATAATGACGATAGACTCTGACTTCTACAAATCATTTATAAGGCATTAAAATATGATGACCACAGCTCATCCATCTTTTGGTAATGAGGGATTCCTATCACTTTTCATAAGGCAATGATCCTTCTAGGTCCTCTTTTCCTATATAACTCAGTGCAGAATATTATCACCTACTGGTCTCTGAAAAGCATTTCCTGTTACGCAGAAACTGTGAATGTCTAAGGGTTTGGTAAGTACTGAAAATCTCAAAAGTATGTATGGTGTTTCTGTCAGAAAAGCTTACACATGAAAATGAAGAGGTATCAACAAGTTTATCAACAGCACTCTACAGGGGAGATTAAATGACATTTCTTTCTGTAGTTTGGTAAAAATAGATAATTACTTTTTGTATCATCAAAAAAATAAAATAAAATTGTCTTTGCAGTGCCTGGTGGAAGGGAAACCCCAGCACAGAGACAGCTGTCATACCCTGAACCCTCCACATACAAGAATATAGCTGAGAGCACAATCATATATGGTGGCTGATAAACTAATTCCTCCAGATTTCTAGAGCATTAAGACCAAGTTTCCACGGAATTCTTTTGTGTTTTTGCTTAAATGTAGATAGATACCTTGTGCCATTTTAGCTACCTTAGAAAATCCCATTTGTCCTCCAGTTGCTGCCTTGGAAAGGTATGGGTACACTGGAGGCAATATCTCGTATGTGCCAAACCCATGCAGATGTCTCAGACACCTTATGCTGTGTAAAATGGCCTAAATTTGGGCTACTGAATCCCACTCTGTAGTGGCCTTTTTAGGTCAGCTGTAGGCAGATAAAGTGATTTAAAATAAAAACATACTCTGTCCATTTCAACTGCAAGTTAGGAGCATGCTTGGTGATTATTTTGTGAAGAAAAACATTACTGGTTCACTCCAAACTATCAAACAGGCAGGAATTTTAGTTTACTGAAGCAGAGCCCAGCTTAGCCTCAGTCTAGATAAACAGCTTGCATTTCCCTTGGAGCACAGGCAGAATTAATTTGTTCATTTCTGCCCCACAAAAACAAATGCAGGCGCACCTAAAAAAAGACTATATCACCGTGATCTATATTTTGAGTTGGCCAGATTACACCAGTGCAAAATCTCTGTACACAATACACTTGCATACTGAATCAGCTCCTGAACATTTAAGTCACATTTGTTCACCTAGTCCATTTTTCACAGTACATATTTATAGAATCCAGAGACACTACCTTTTCATGTTTGAGATATCCCTTTTATCCTCTCAGATATACAGAACACTAAAATGACTTTTATTTCCCTAAAATGAAAGAATTTCACATATAGGAAGCAAAACAGCAAAAGCAAAACGCTTTCCTATTTTAAACAGAGCTACTTACTCCTCACAGAAGGTGGAACAACCTAGCAGATACATTTTTTTTTTTTAAATTATTATTCTTACAGCTAATCATTCACATAAAATAAGCTTGGATGAATTCTAGTACATACACATGATTTATAAATGTATTTTCAACCTGAGGGAAGACTATAAGCCAGATTCAGATAGCTTGTGCAAAAGGTGTACATGAGGACAGAGGATGGATAGAGACTGAATCCTGTCAGATGAGCTTCTCGAGCTCAAGCCATGTGGGAAGTTGAAGCAGCCATAGTGATCTCTGTTAAAATCCACTTCCTGCCAGCTGCAGTCTGACACACACTCTGCAGGCTGAACCCACATGGCAGCTTTTGACAGTCCACGTGCTTCCCCAGCAACCTCATGAGGGACTTGGCCTCAGTACTCTGCACTCAAAGTACGTCTGGTGACTACAGTACAGGCAGTGCAACTCCCTTCTGCCTGCCCGTTAGGGTAGGTACTCTTTTAAAAGCATGTAGACCTCAATTTGTAAAATGATTTGAATTAAGTGGGTCTGACTTTTATATCCATTTCATAAACGTAAGTCCCAAGGAGGATACGAAGGCCAGCTGTTAATGTGATGACTCATTATAGGCTTTGCTGAAATGTTTACTCAACAACTGAACAAATATGCAGTTGTAATTCTGTCGTCCCAGTTTTCTGGCCCACACATCTTCACCCTGTCATTGCAAAAGCTCAGCACAGATAGGGAAGTCTGCAACTTCTGAGGTCACAGGATGGAGAAATACTCAAGACAGTAATGAAATTTTCTAGTTAGGACTTGACGCCTAGCTGTGACAGAGGAAGACTACATCAGAATGATTTAAAACTCAAGGCTGCCAATAAGGAAATAGGTAAAGCTTTTATTATTTTTATTATTTTTTTTTTCATGACAATTTTCACAGCATTCTGCAATACAGAACTCAATATAAAATCCTGCTTTATGCCAGGCCTAGACATAGGATCTTGCTCCTAACAACAGAGAAGCAACCCTCACTCTTCAGGGTTCTGACTTGAGACAAGTGCCTTTGCTCTCACCAAGGCCAGGGGAATTCAGATGTATTGTCCAGAGGCCACTTTCTGGGAAACAGCATAATGGGTCTGGAAACAAAATGATGCTGACTTGAGAGCTAGCAATGAAGCCATCTAGACTGCTTACATTTAGCAGCAGTCAGAGGGTCCTGGGGTGCCCTGAGAGTTGCCCCTAACATTCTCCTGCAACCAACCGCTTCTCTTCCTCTCTGCATTCATCCATTCCACACCTGCAAGCTGGCTCAACCCACCTTTTATGGCACCTGAAACTGCAGAATTATGTATTTGTGTTTTCCAGGAAGAGAAAAATAGGAGTGCTGGAGAGATTTTTGCCACAGGGCAGAAAGGAAGGTGGGACTGAATCATGCTGAGTTGACTCCTGTGACAGAGAAGGAGAAACAATGCTACAACCAGCAGTTATGGAGAAAAGAGAAATGAAAAATAAAAATAATGAAAAAAAATAAGAAATAATAAAAAGGAGGGAAAGGAATAGGATGTTGTGGATCTTATTGTCAAAACGGGTGAGCTGGCCACATTCTCCTATTCTGCTGTGGGGAAAGGGGAAAGCTGGTGCCCTAATGGCTTTGCAGAAAACATAGACTGCTCTCTGGATTGGAGCTGGCAGACAAGTGAAAGAGCTCAGGCAACTCTGCTGCTTGAACATCTGGTCCTTGTCTCCTTCAGAAACAGGAGGATGATGAACCAGAGAGCAATGCATGACAGGACAGATTAGCTTGCAGACCATTACGCCACACTGTAGCAAGAGAAACACAAGATGCAGTGTCAAAGTTGGAGTATTGATTCTTGTTAATTCATGTTTCCAAGTGGTGTCTGGTATTACTACACAAAAGCTGTACTCTCCAGCACACACACTGCTCAGACTTTGCTCAAGGTGTTTTGAATTCAGAGAGATGCCATGAAAATGAGGTTCCTTAGGGTTTCATGGGCAGTGCTGAGGCCCTTATTGTCATTGGCCAACTTGTGGTAGACTTGACCAAGGAAGGCAATATGCTTTATTGTGGAAGTATATTTTATGATTTTTTTCTGTTTCACTTAGCAGGAGGCAGGAAAACCCACAGAGGGAGAGAACGTTAGTACAAGACTTTGCTCATTATAGCAATAGTTATTTTAAAATGTTTCTCTGCAGCCCTTTGAATCAAAGACTAGCACACAAACTTTCTCCACAGATGCACAACTTCCATGTCTAAGGTTTGCCATCCAACATGATTTTCATTAGACATCTTGCAATATTCCTAAATTCTCCTTACTGCTTTGTAGTTACATACAGGAATGGACCACACCTGCAGCATTTGAAGGATCTTTTCTTAGTTTTCTTATTTATCTCCCCAAGATTATATTGCACAATGT